CTCTTTTGAGCAATTTCCTTCCCTTTCCCAATATCTATTGTACGTTTTGGGTTCCACTTAGGAACAGTTAATGCTTTATTTATTTATTTTTGACCCATTTTGCGTGCTTCTATCTGGTAATCTGAACAACTAATTTGAAGACAACAATATGTAACAGAACAACCATTGCTGAATTCCTATCTTCTTGTTTGGTGAAATTCTGTATCATTTATCATTTTTTTTGTTTTTCTTTTTTATTGTCTTTAACCCTTTGATTAATCTTGCATTCTTACATCTGGTAATCTGACCAACTTTGAGGCAGATAAAAATATGTAATATAACAAATAAATAAATGAAATGAGCTGTTTGCCAATGCAATGAGTTTCCTATTATTGAAGGCATTTTGAAGAGCTAGGGATGGGGGGGCGGGGTTAATTATAAATGTTAGGTGAGCCTGAAAGGCCGCACTGAGGAGAGAAACAGCTAGGATTTTGGAAGTATTGGGCACTGTTGGGCAGAAAAAGGCCAGAGGCACTAAATAGGTAAAGAGGATAAGGAGGGTTAATGGACCTGAATATATAAATGTTGGTGAAGGGGCCTGATTCAGTCCACATTTTGGACTGGGGAGCAAAGATGAGCAAAAAAATGAATTGAGGACTGTTGCTTTATAGTTCCATTAAAGGCCAGCAAGGTTCTCCATGCAGTGGATTTCTCTGCCTGAGAGGGAGCCTGAAATATGAGTCATTCCAGCAACTTGAGAATCTGTGATTTTATGAGCCAGGCAGGATACATTTCTTCATTATGTCTGTCCCTGTAGTCATTTTAAGTGCCTTAGATTAGCTTACACAACAGATAGATCTCTTACACAGGTGGGGAGTGATGAGTCAGTTGTCTTCAGGAATTTCCGCCTCTACAGCAAAAATTCTGGAGGTTAGGCTACTAGAAGAAAGGCCACCCATTTGCCATTGAGCAAGCCAGCCAATGTTTCTGTGATCTGTGGAGGCCTGCAGGAATCAGGTAGTTTGGGGTATATGAGAATGAGGATCCTTACAACCCTCTGAATAAGGCATCCCAATATCTTCAGTGAAGACAATGATGAAAACCACTTCCAAGGGCTCCCAGGCAACTTTTTGAAGGCTAGTTAGTTGAAACTGAGGACCAGTACTGGATATTGCCTTTCATGTTGTGTTTCCTCAACCCACAAAGTAGTCCCTAACTTGCCTCATAGTTAATTCAATGCTTATTTGTCACTTCCTACTTAGCCAATGTACATGGCTTATTTTAGAATAATGGAAACTCTATGAGGAGAGTTATGGCTGTTGTATCATCGATGTGGACTGAATCATGCCCTTTCATCAACATTTATATGTTCAAGTCCATTAATCCTCCTTACCCCAAGAATGTGGCCATATTAGAAGACATGGAACAGACCCCACCTTCATGAACCTCAGAAGGAATCAAACCTGCTCAGACACTGACCTTGACTTCTAGCCTCCACAACAATGATGAGTTCAATTCCTGTTTCTCAAGACACCAGGTGTATGGTACTTTGTCACAGCACTCCTAGCTAATCAACGCAATAATCCACCTTGCAGAAAGGCAGGCACCATGCATCAGATAGCCCTCAGCTAAT